CCCCCAGACACACACAGCACACCCACACACACACTGCACCCACACACACACTGCACCCACAGACACACACTCCACCCAGACACACACTGCACCCACAGACACACACTGCACCCAGACACACACTGCACCCAGACACACACTGCACCCAGACACACACTGCACCCACAGACACACACTGCACCCACAGACACACTGCACCCACAGACACACACTGCACCCAGACACACACTGCAGCCACAGACACACACAGCACCCCCAGACACACACAGCGCACCCAGACTCACACAGCGCACCCAGACACACACAGCGCACCCAGACTCACACAGCGTACCCAGACACACACAGCACCCCCCAGACACACACAGCACACTCCCACACATATACAGCACACACATATATATATATAAAATAACCCTCAGTGAGTTAACAGACAAAGAAAATTAGAAACCTAGAATGTGACAGCAGATAAAAACACCCTCACACACAGCACCCCTCTTACATACACAAACTGCGCCCCTCACACATACAAGTCCAAATATATATATATACATACACACACACACACACACACACACACACTACAGCACCCCTCACACTGCACCACTACACACATTACGCTCCAGATACACACTAGATCCCTTACTCTATATGCACTCTTTATCCTCTATACACACACACACACACTGGGTCCTTTACACAGTAGATCTCCTACACACACACACTACATTCCTTGTCAGCAAACACATACAACATTCTCTAAACACACCCTCTCTGCAACCCCTACACACACTACGTCACCTATACACACACACTTCAGCCCGTATGCACACACTCGCTGCATCCCCTATAAAACTATGCCCCCTATACACACACTCTCTACAGCCCCTAGCCACACATATTACACCACAAACACAAATTAAATTGACCTATTTATACAATACCACACCACACTCTACACACACGCAATCCCACAAGCAGGCTCCAAACACATGCACCATGCACTTTCCATTTGTCCTCTGGTATCCCACTTGTGGAGACACCAGAGACAATTTAAAAGCAAACACAGCACAAGCATGTTATTTCATTTGCTTGCGCTGCGAAGAACAAATTCAGGGCCTTTTTCTAATGCCAGAGCTCTTCAGCAGGGCTCTGGGCATTGAACCAACATTCTCACTTTGAGAGGGGGCGTGTTGTCATTAGTGATGACAAAACACACACTCTCTGGCCCCGCCCCCTTCTTAGGGGGCCGCTCTGATTGTAAAATGCCCGGGCCTAATTTTTTTCCCAGTCCGGCCCTGTATTGTACTATATGTGCAAATAAAATAAAGATTGGCCAAAAAAATAAATAATATTAGCCCTGCACTCAAAATTCCATTGTTCTTTCATGGTTGCATTGTTCTAGTTACCTGTTTCTGTACTTCTTGTTACAGTGCAGCCACGTATTCCCAATCTGTCTCCAGTACATGATGAATAAGGCTGTAGAGTTTTATGGGAAAACCAACTTCTTATTTAAAAGTAGCCACGGTGGCTAACAGTAAGGCTCACCTTCAAGGGTCTGTTATTTAAAAATGTAGATTGGGGTTGTAACAAAATAATCTGTGTTAGCAGTGTTTATTAACATGTAGTGAGAAAACTAGCCTTTTCCTTGGAATGCCCAAGGTTATTGTGTCCTGGGATAAGAATAAAGGACCCATGGGGATAATTAGCTTAACCTAATTTACATTCCTCAGTCAGGGCTCTGGTCTCCTATCCCAGTTCGTATTCTTATTGGTGTAAATAATTGTAAATACATTTCCTGTGTGCGCTGTGTTTCTTAAAAGAAGCTTGGAGCTCAGCAAATAAAGAGCGAATCCACAAGTTGCCAGCAAGAAGCTTGTGTCTTGTCTCTTTCTGAGGTCTTGGTTGGAATCCAAGTTTAAGTCAGGCAAGGGTATCATATCCACTGAAGTGTGTTGCCAGTGGAATAAGCTAGTTAGTATACTCTGTAACAGCCGAAACATCCAACAGCAGTAAATCCTGGGTTGCCAGTGAGTCCACTACAAAGCAAACGTAACCTTGGAGCTTAGTTAAGCAGTTAGTGGTGCAGGTTAGGCTAAAAAAACAAAAAATGGACGATAGCAGGCCTGAACTGGTACACCTCTGCTGCCTGTGAAGCCAGGACCATAATGTCACAGGGATTTAAAAGAGATTGCAGGTATATATTTTTGTTTGTTTTGTTTACATATTGGGACGGTATTTAATAGTTAATGATTGGTGTTGCTTAGCATGGCTTTAGGGGATGAAGCCCCAGATTTCAGGCTCTTTAGCCCTGGAGCTCTACAGTGGGTGGAGGGTGCAGTAGAATATGTGTTTTTAATTATTATGTTTAAGTCAGCTGCTTCTTAAGCACCTACTATAAAAGATCAGTAGTACTGTGCTCCACCAGGCTATATAAGGGAAGGGGTGGATCCCACCAAGTGACTGTCATGAAGGGGCACTGAGGATTATTATGGCAGAGATTATACATCCCTCTAGTAGTTAGGTAGCGTGGAAGCATCACATTCAATTCCTTTCTGTGTAGCATGTGCTTGTGTCCAGTTATGTTTTCTTTGAGATCCCTGAGGGCATCAGGAGAATCGTGTTCATGGGTAAATAGGAAGGGGCATAAAATATTAAGGAGGGGATGGGTCAATACATATCCCCACCTCTTTGTTCAGGTAGGTGTCATCAAGTTTTTCATTGGGATCATGCCCTAGGTGTTTCTGGAACCTATCAACACTCCTGATAGCCAGGAAGTAGCAAAATGCTGGCAAAACATCAGGGGAGATGTAGTCCACAACATCTGGAGTGCTGAAGGTTGCCTACTCCAGTACCAGGGAGAGAAAATTGTGGGGGCAGGCTAGGTAGGGATAGATACTTGAGGAAGTGGACTAAGGAGACATTATGGGATATAAGGTTAAGGAAATGTTCACTGGTGAGATGGGAGAGATAACTGGGAGGAGAGAAAGCTAAAGAAGATAGGGAGAGATAGATAATAAGGCAGATAGGTGAACCCCAAAGGGTTATAAAAATGTAAGTGATAACTCATATAGCTTGGCCAGCCTACAAACCAGGATAATGCTCATTGGAACTGCATTTTATAAACATCTGCTGGTTGTGGCCTTTGAAGATGTTGTGAAATACAAGGTTATGCATTGTTCAGCTATCCTTAAAGCTGGAACTTCATGGGAATTGCAATATGTTAGGTTTGCGGGCTCATGAGCTAACATTGCATGCATGCAGGAACTGCAACATACAAACATACAACCACTCAGGAACACCAATATACACACATACTCATTATGCAAAAACAACACAAAGTACACAAACAAACACACAGTTCTGCTCATACAGGAGCTTCACCATGCTTCCACCTTACCAGTAAGTGTCCATGGGAAAGCCACGTAACAATATATATCCATCTATCTCAAATCCTCATAGATGGTAAGCTCATTTCAGCAGGGCATTCTTCATCTCTAAATTATCCCCTTTCTATAATTGTAACGCGCTGCAGAATATGTTGGCGCAATATAATACTAACAATAAATCAACAGTGTGCCCATAGAAACATTGATACACGTTGAACCTGTTCACCCAAAAAGCAATGATACTATACAGAGAAACATTCACACGCATTCACATATGTGCACACAACAACCCTCACAAGCACTGGTTATCCACAAACCATTTTTTTTTTCAATTTGTTTTATTTAACAAGCAATTTATGACATTAACAATCACATCTACATTTCACACCGGGACCCCGAAGATCTGAGGCCATCTCTGTTCACAAGCATAGCATTATGACTTAAGCAGCAGCGCTCATTGCTGATTCACCTCCTATTAAGCCATAGGTCAAGTCATGTATAGTTTTTTGTTTTGTTTGTTCTTGACATTTAGTATTGTGCATTTCCTGTGGTTTTATCTGCAATAAGGACTTAGAACAGTTGTGCTCAAATATTGAGGCAGCACAATAGACACTCTGATGTTATGGGACCACCCAATATGACATGACTCTATACAAGACAATCTACCAGATGGAGTCAGCACTAAGCCCTAACAAGCTGTACAGAACCATACCTACTCCTATAGAACACATATGGGAGTGAGGTTTATAATTTATATTCTGCCAATTCCCCTACTGGGTCCTAATCCAACTGTAAGGAATAATGTAGTTTCCTTTATTTGAAGTAATATGAAGGAATCTTTACAACAGGTCTCTGCTAAAATGTAGAAAGTGAAAACATTTGCTAGCAGTTTAATATTTTGGCTAATTTAATATCCATATAGCATTAACACACGGCTAGTAACATCTAGTCTAGTTGAGATGCCCATTTGTGGCTTTCCAACAGTTATTGGACCACATCCCACATGATATTTTACAGGTTTGTGGGATTTAGGATGTTTTTCTATATTTTGCTAAATATTTCACAATGCATGTTTAAATTTATAATTTATAATTAATTTATTCAAAGCATAACCAAATACCCACAATTACTTTTTTGTCCTACAATTTATAATTGCTTTATTTATTGTCAGAATTCATGTTTTTTTTCAATAGAGCCCATGTATTTATCCTTCACTCCATTACTTGGTAAAGAACATAGTGGTAATACTAGCTTGGTCCCATTAAGATTTATGATCTCAGAGCATCTCTTTTGTCTGCATTATTTAAAGTCTCTAGGCTTATTTCTGATTTACTAGCTGGTTGTCCAAAGCAAGAGGCGATTTTGTTGTTAAGACTCTGGGTCAGACAATCTCTCTGCATAAAATAGTAGTAATGTCTGTATTGAATATTAAAATGCCTATGTTTTACTTTAAAGTCTTGCACCAGTGAACTAGAAAAAAGGCTTGCCTGGGGACTGGATCTGAATCACAGAACTGGCCAACTGAATTCTTTTCCCAGGAGCCTGCAAAAATTATTCACAGTGATGAGCCCAGGCTCCTGATGCTATACTGCACATTTTTTCTAAAATCAGCTTTAGGGAGAGCAGAAGGGGAAGTATCTTATTTGAACAGAGCTTACTGCAATATATGTAACCCTTGATTTGCTAGGGATATTGTCATTTGCGATTTCCTTAAGCCTTTGTGTCTTAAACCTATAAAATAGCTCAGGCTCTACAGCATACAATAAATCAATTCTTCTAACAGTACTAAATAATAATTTAAAAAAAACATGCAATACAAAAGATTTGATAAATGCTAAATAAACCATGCTCAGACACTTCTTAACATAGCGGGCCTTACAGGTTTGTGTGTAAAATTATATTGTCTTCAGAAGTAGAAGCAGAAAACTCTGTCTTGAAGTGATACTTTTGATTTTAAACACGACCATAACGTAGTACAAAGTAAACCTAAAAATTAGCTCTCCAAGCCCCCTGATGATGTGGTTATAGTGCAATACGTGCACTGACACTTCCCAGGATAAACTGGTTGACACTTTACCTGAGGTCCACCAGTTGTCTCCTCAGTGGAGATGGAGGCTCGTGCAAAGAGCACCAGCAGAATGATTTGACCACGTACCCAGGGAGGACACCAAGGCACTACAGCAGGCTGGTGTGGTTATGGTGCTTGGAGTGTTCCTTTAAACTTCTTTATCTTGGGCAATGTGATTTTTGATATTTTGTATACATTTGAAATTATATTTTTGAATGAATTATGTATTTAAAGTTCTCATTTCATTTTAACCATACAGAAATATCTAGTGCAGGGGCGGCAAACCCTCTTATCCCGAGATGTTATAGAAGTGCAACTTTCGTGATGCTTTACCATTCTAAAGGATGGCAAAGCATAATCGCAGTAGTACTTCTTTAACACTTGGGGATCTACCACTTGCCACAAGTAACACTTCAGTAATTTTATTGGGATAAGGAAAGGAAATGTCATCAGTCAGAAAGTCACTGTTCCACTCTAATTTCTCTGATCTTATCATTAACTAATTCTAGTGCAACCAAGAACGTAATTACCCTGATTGCTGTAAATACTGGCACCAGATGCATCTACAGTATTATTACTTTAATGTAAATAGACTAAAATACTCTCTGCTAAGTTTCTTTGATACACGAATGGGAGAGAAGGATATGCAATCCAGGTTTGATATAAACCTAAACCTACACGTTCATTCAGCCAATCTGAAAATGATTAGTGACTCTAAAATAAAATGCACAAGGTGCACATGATCTCTTGGGAAGCAGCAATCTCTGAAAAGCTTTTCAATGTAATCTGTGGCCTCTGAAGAATGTCCAAAAACTATTTACCAGTTTGTTAAAGTGATGAAAGAAATCATCTTTTCGTGAGTTGGCCAGTGAAAACATTTTTGAAAATTCTTGCAAGAAATACTTACATATGAATGAGTTCACCACAGAGACAAATGCTACAGTTCTGTATGTAGAATGTAAAAGGCAAAAGAAGCTAACTTGCAGACGTTACCCGTGCTCTGATCCTCATGGGATATATATATTGAAATTTGCCAAATTTGGATAGCAGCAAAAAGGCATATTTTTGACAGTCAGGTGGTATGTAAGGTATCTAGAATGTAAGCTCATTGAGCAGGGCCCTCCAACTCTCTGTTCCTGTAGGTCTGGTTGTCTGGTTACAATTACATGTCTTGTTAGTCCACCTATTTTACAGCACTACGGAATATGATGGCGCTATATATAATAAAATAATAATAATAAGGAATGGTAAATAGGTTGTTAATGGATTACAGATTATTTCAAACAGTGTAGGTTTATGGTTGAAATAATATTCTAATTTTGGATACCTGTCCAAAATAGAGAAACTGGAATACAAATGGGTCTTTGCTCATTCATTAAACATCCCGGTCCTGATCAAACCAATACTGTGAAATTGTTGTATGTGTATTAAATATTTCCACGAAGGTTACATCAACAGTCACAGACACAGACTGGTCTTATTTCCCTTTATTGTACTGTATTTAGTTATTGTAAATCAGATAATGTCACATTTAAAAAGCAGACCATCCAGTTGCGGATTATATTCATTAGACTGTCCTCTGTGAACTGACAAATCCAATCAAAGCATTAGTTTATTTAATTTTTTTTTTTAAGTAAAAAATACAAATAATAAAATGGAATAGACAGCTGCCAATCCATCACATCACAGAAAAAACACACAACTAAAAAAAATAAAATAAAAAAAATAGCAATTAAATGATGCAGAAAATAAAAAACACTCCAAAGCTCTGAACTATCAATATAATACAAGAGGCAACAAAAAGACAACATCATTGCAAATGATTATTCTAACACTATAAATTCAGTCAGAAGCAGAAGCTCTAAAGTACACTAGTAAGAAGCAGGACAATAAAAATACTGAGCATGGAATACTTTTAATCTCTTCCATTAATATTCATTTCCAGCTGCTTATAATAGCAGCGCCTCATGGCCAAATCATTAGAGTTTTACATCTGGGTTGCAAATGACACTTTGATTGGATGTAATGTTCAAATGGTCCTCCCCACTGTGCCTCCGTCAAGTCTTATGCAGAGAGAAGTCCTGTAGTGCCACCGGCTCACTGTGCGTGCTGGCTCAACGTGTGGTTCTGAAAAGACGAAGAAAGGAGAAATGCATGAGGGGCAAAATAATAGAAAGCGTGCCCATACCCTCCTACTCAGTACCATTTATGAAGAGCTGCACATAAAAGCCTCTCATTTATTCACAAAAAAAAAAATAAAACATGATTTTTAAAAAAAAATCTCATAAGTAATAGCTGCCAATATGACACAGATTTCTTTGTACCGGTGCTGACATGAACACAGAACATTCTTTTTTTTATGTAGCAGCCTAGTGCTGCCACCAGGATTTCAACCCACGTAGAGAAGAAAAATAAGTACCAATAGTAGGGGAGAAAATCTACCCTGGGGGATTTCTTTTTCATTTCCCTCCCCGCAATGTTACAATAATTTCTAAATAAATATATAATTCTATATCTCCTTTATCACCTTCGGGTCTTCCGCTCTATTGTATTCTTTGTTCTCTACAACAACTGGAGATAGAGTTGCTTTGCCAAGAGAACAGAAATTGGCAGTGATGTGTGTTTACAATCCTAGAAATGCCTGAACAGCTCCAACTGAATTCCAAACGGCTCAACAGCAACACATGTTTAGTTTGGTGATAACCTTTTAAGTGCCAGAGGTGTCTGCCGTGCATGGGAGCCAAAGATTGCTAGAGAGGGACAGGTTGCCACTATAGAAATAATGAAGTAAGCAGAGGCTATGCTAGGGGGGAACAGCACTTAATGTAACCTTGTGTTCCATGAAAAGCATTACATATACATTCTAATAAAATAATACAGAAATACATACATCTGTATAACCTACATTTTTCACATTTAAAAAAAAATAAAAAGAAATTTGAGCTGAAGATGAAATTGAATAAGTAAATAGAGTAAAAAGACATCAGTACCAAGGCGATACATTACATGGTAAGACTTAATATATCTCTATGGCAACTTTATTCAATGGGCAAAGTAGGCATTTGTTTAGAGGCCACATTCAAACAGAAACTCTCCTTTTTGAATGCAGCTTTTTTTTTTTTAGTAATTAAAGGATGGCATTTCTGTGATTGTAAAATGAAGCTCTATGACAGGGTTCAAACACTGGATCTGCTTCTGCAAGCAGACTACAATGCCCAGGAGCCTTTTTCATCCAAAGATACAAGAAGCTGTGGGTGCAGCAGAATAAGAGTGACTGCTAAGTGAAATATCATTGGCATACAATATGTGGTTATATGCATACATGAATTCATCATGTGTAAGTGAACAAAAGCATTTGCACACACTTAATTACTCATGTGGATAGAGCTTAAATCAGTTTCCTATTCCTGTGTAATAATTAGGCTATTTTGGGGGTTTGTTTTCTATGTAAAGTCTAGTTTGTAGATTAGATTATGGGTGGGTGTTAACATTGCACGTAGCTTATTAGCCCATCAGTAAATACATCTTACATCTTTGTACTTATGTGTACAATGTATCCTTCCTTATAGCTGGGATTTGCAGAGAAGCTGATATATGACATGCCATCATTCTAATGACACTTGCTTAATGAAAATTGTCTTGAGGAAACAGTTAACTAATGAACCTTCCATTTCGAGGCCTCAGTCTCCTGGGGGGTAATGACCCCATTTAGGCACAATATTCATAGGTGATACCTGCATTATTCAGAACTGACCACCAGAGGGCAAGCAAAATAGGTTTTTAAATGACAGAAGTTTAATACTGCATTCAATTTAAACAGGCTGCAGCAGTATATTAAAAAGGGAGTTTAATGATGGGGAGTCATCTGTTTGATAAGCATATAAATAATTTTACGAAAAAACAGCGAAATTAAAAACAATTACTTAACAGTAGCTCTATAGCCTGTAGATCTATGTATTATTATGCAAAGTAACTAATTATAGATAAGTTACAGAAGGGGTTTGCAAAATATGGCACAGACTGGGAAGATTTGAAGATCTCCCCAAGAGATTGCATGACAGAGAGTCCAGTAGGACTTCTCTAGGTATCAGTAGTTCCTGTTTGTAATGGGTGATGAGTAGCAGACCTCAATTCACTCTTGGCAAAACTGGGAGGAAATGACCTGAGATCACTTCCTCCCAGTGCTTGTGAAGGAGAATATTTCTGATTGCACAATATGTTGCAGCATTATAAATAATTAGTATTATTAACATAATACTATATGCAGCAATGACTGCATATGTTGCTTAGAAGGACTGGTTAATTACATGTTGATACTTAAAAGTAGCCAATTATAAAATGTATTGGAGTACATAACCTCTCTGAATTACTGTGGACTGAAAAATGAATATGCAATGTTTTGGGAAAAACATCACACGTTGGTTGCAGTATTAGAACAAATCAGAAATACATTAATGTTCAGGAAGAATGTTGAGATTTTATATAATATACCCAATGTCCTATGCTGCTAACTAGGCCTTAAAAGTTACTTGCCACTGCAAGTCTGGAGGGTCCATTGCACACTCATCAGATGTAAATGTCTACTGTAAGTTAAATGTTCTGGCTAAACTGACACATCTACATATTTCGAAGGGCATTTATTGCAGCCCGTATGAACCCAAAGAATTTCCTAATTATTCCTTTCATGGCTGCTAATCATCTGCATTGCACAAAATGTACCATGTGGGCTCCTGTACATTACTGGAGGTGTTACATAGCACATTTTATTTGCAAAGCACACACAGTCTGACAGTGGGTATTTTTCATTTAAATTTGTTTTCAAAAACAAGTCTGGGTATACAAAAGAAAGCATAAAGCATGGAGTAATAGTTTGTATAAAATGTTTCTACAATGCGTTACCGTTAAAAGATATAGTACAAGGGCAATAAACACAGTGAATGCATGATTGTACCTTTAATGCAAAGTAGAAACTATTGGTGCTAGAGAAATCCATACTCATTTAACTAGTGTCATTTAAAAGATAATGTACAATCATCAGTAGATGGGGGACACAGTGCATGGGCAGAAACACATTTCAAATCTTTGTGTCTGCTGCATTGATTGTAATAGACAGGTCAATAAAGGAATGGTATGTGGTTCTAAATCTGATAATGAGGTACTCAATGGGAAACTCTCCTCCCTGCAACAATACAGACTCAAAGAATGATCAAATAAACATGTCTGGAATTCATTTCACCAACATAGTCTTAAACAAATCAAACGAGATGAAAATATTACATATTTGTACCCAAACACACATACGCAGGCAGAATGTCTATTGTATGCTCCACTTAAAAAAAACAAATGTAATACTCCCATCTCCAGTTCCTGTAAATGTATGTGAATTATCAAAGATATCCAATCAGTTGCAAACGAGTTTAGATTGGCAAGGGCAACGATACCGTGGATGTAACTACATATGATCAAGAAAATATGCTCCACAACTAATTTTTAACTATGTAGTCATCCATTCAATAAGCCAGGTTTTACAAAGGATCAAGAGATTTCAACCCACATCTTTTGCAAATGGAGTGAAAGGGATGGCATACACTAGGACAGGCATAGGCAACCTTCGGCACTCCAGATGTTTTGGATTACACCTCCCATGATGCTTTGTCAGCATTATGGGTGAAAAAGCATTATGGGGGATGTAGTCCACAACATCTGCCGTGACGAACGTTGCCCACCCCTGCACTAGGGTATAATTTTGGAGACTGGGTAGTCCCCTCATTTGGACTGTTAGTAAACAAAGTGTATTACATCTTTATTGGGTAAAACAATCTTTCCGCCAAGTTCATTTAAATTTGATCACCAAATTTGTGGATACAAACACAATGTTTAATATTTAATCCACTTAATGTCTGCTTACGCAGTCCAGAGATTCCACTGCACAACCTATTGTTCTATAGCAAAGTCCAAGTATACATAATTGTTCTGATATCCATGTGTTCTTGCAGTATAAGAGCTTGATTAACAAGACAATATGAACAGATGGCTTGGCACTTTGGGGTGGTACAGGCACAAGCTCAGAATAGCTAGGTATATCTTGCTGCAGCAATACATGCACTGTCCATCACGCACTAGATATATGCTACCCAAGCATCTATTTACACAGCCCAAGAGGGATTATGAATTGTGCCGTAAAAGCAGTCTATAGAGTATCTTAGAAAGCAGACTCCAGAGGTTGCAACCAAAAAATTGTACCAGTTTGGTTCAAATTTTACAATTTACAAAGTATTCCGAAGACCACCTAAACACATGGTCTTATCAGAAAATTAATATATATTCCCCAGCAAAGACAATTGGTGAAAGATGAATCAATACAAGAAAGAAAGCAATGTTTTGAGACTTTTTCATATTAACAGATCACATCGTGTGTAGGTCTCTCACGAATGTAAGTCAAATATTTTGCTTAATGGAGTTTGGGTCTATTACCTTTCCATGTTAAAAAAAATATTATTGCCTATGACAAATTATGATTTATTATCTATAGGTTTACTTTTCATTGAAATGAGTTTCAAAACACTATTATGAAAGAAAAACCCAAACAAGATACAGCATCAATATTTACATGTCAAATCAATGTTACAGTGCATCTATATTGCCTATCTTTGTACAGAATGAATTAAAACCATGTCTGCTGCCCCTGGTAGTTAGATGTGCGCTTATTTTTAGAGCAGTTTGACCACCATCCAAGAGCCTAGGACTAACAGATGGCCTGTCTTAAAGCCTCATATGTTCAGTAGTTTGCACTTCTGACAAACCATAAATGTACTCAAGAGTGTGCCATAAACAGGGCTGGATGAATACTCTGGTGCTATTCAGTTAATACACTTCATTAAAACTGATAAGCAATGCATCCCATAAAGCAGGTGTGCACCTAGCTGTTCTTTCATTACATGTCCATTCTGAATGGAGGCTGGTATATCTGCACCTTGCAATGGGTTCATCGTTTCCCTATTAAATGACATAATGTGCACAATACAATACAATTGTCTAACACAAGCTGTTGGCTTCCCTGTTACTAGCGCCATTACCTGCCTCATACTGTGTAACAATGGGTCTCTCAAGTGTTTCATTGTCACTGGCTACCTTCTGTGTTCTTAATTGTGATCAAGGGAATGCAGGGCTCTACAACTGTACTAATACGATCGTTTTTTATTGAACATTTTGTTCAAAAAGATCATAACACAATAATACCCCCATAAAGCACAAAGGAGAGGTTTTTTTTATTTAAAGGGAATTTGTAATCAACAAACTATGTGGTTTAAAAGTTCATAGTCAGGCAAGTATATATTTAATCTATACACCATATAGTCAAAGAGAATATCAATATGTCTAGCTGATCCAATATGGACTTGTGGAGAAGCTGCATGGCAGCCCCTTGCTCCCAAATCACAAGATCAGCAACTATCAATTCCTAGATAAGTCAAAATGCTACCATGTAACCTTTGCCGTTGGTTGAAATAAAGGCCAATTGCATTAAAAAGGTTTCTAATATTGTTTTTTGTTGCATCTCTTAGATGCACTCAGACCTCCATGCTAGCAGAATAAAGCCTTAGACAGCCAAACATGACATTCATTTTAATGTATACCTTTATCAGTCATTTGGTTAACAGAACATATAGATGAAATTGCATTCTGTTTAAAAAGTTGGACATAACAGATGCAATTACCGACACTTGAACTTGCTATCCCTTCCTGAATAACCAATGGATATGTTCAACATGCAGACCAGCACAGGGTGGAGTGTGTCCCTGTAATTGAGTGACATGTAAAACTTCCACAACGATGAGCCAGCTCTATGTCTCAGTCTGCATGTTCTATAACAGTTTAGCTCAAACATAGTCTTCAACATAAAGTAGCCGTGGGTCCAAAGTTCCATTAACACAAGAGATATAAGGTCTACTTGATTGCTCTTACTGGAAAGTAAACAAAATCGGTTATGTTCATTAACCTTCCGGATGTGACTTTAAGGTTGTGAGAGATGCTCGGCATTAAGAGTGGTGACTGTTAAGATTCAACCCATTACAAATAACAGAAATAGATAAATAAAAATTAAGGTAAAGTAAATTATCC